ATATAATACGATTTGTAGCCTAAGTTTTCCTTCAGTTACACATGAACCTAAAATAGCAAACCCCGATGGCATCCATTAGAGGACGTTTACGCGCGTAATCATTCCATTTTTGGAATTCGCATTTCCTAATATGGTAGGATGAAAATACTCCGTAAAATATCGCAAACTTACGGTTAACCATTTGATTAAGAGTATCTGTAAACTATATAAATACCTATTCTTTAACATTTTCATACTGTATTGGCGTGTTATATTTTGGTGTGTCAGTTATCTACAAAACCGTTCGATAATTTAAATTGTTTTCTGAAGCGGTGGATGTCATGTCATTAAATCTACCCAAATATTTCACTGCTAGTATATTTATTTCAGCATATAATACAACATGAAAAAAGAACTGAACAAAATTAGACTCATTTAGTGCGTCATTGATTTTTATTCTTTTTTCCCCCTCTCATTAGCAAACCCATTTACTGGGTACTGCTGCTCAAGATGGTGAGTTAATTTATTTGAACATTTAAAAGATAATCATGGGAACTTATTCCAAAAGAGAAATGAAGTTGAATATAATCATTTGAAGTCCAAATATAACATCGATAAGATTGAAATATGTTTCCTGCACGTGCATGTTTTATCTAATTCATTCTAATTATGCACAGCGCCCGCAAAATGTTGAGTACCACCTTATTGTTGAAGTTTCATATTTGGTAGATTCCACCTGCCCACAAAAGGCATAATTGCAACGTTCTCCAGCCCTTATGATTGTGCAACACACATCCTTATCCTCAATTGCAATGAATGTATTGCACTAGTAATTTTTCATTTTGCAGAAAACAATAGTAACACAATTTTGTAAACAATTTTCCGAATTGTTACACTGCCTCATTAATTTACACTGTGACATTAAACTGGCACATTCAAATATAACGTTTTCTACCTTCTTCACACAGAGTGTTCAGGATGGTGGACTAATTGGTTTAATCATGATGGTCCGAGTGGTTTGGGAGATTATGAAACAACATCATTTTTTGTAGATCATCTTGGAAACGATATGTGCTCTGATCCTACTGGTGTACAAGCGCAGACGGTAGATGGTGTTGCAGCAGAAGATACAGGTGAAATATTCTCAGACTATTCGCCAGAAGAAGGATTCGTTTGTTTACGGGCAGATCAACCAGATAACGAATGCTATGACTATGAAGTCAGATTCTGCTGCCCAGGTAATAAAATGCAAAACAACAATCTAAAATAAATTAACATATATTAATATGTATGAGAAAGCCATTTAACCTGCAAGGATAACTATGAATACATAATCTAAAAAAATTTGTAGATTTAGAATCGCCTGATTTTAAGTTTTTGTAAATAAAAAAATGATTTTAATGAGTTGCATGTAGCAATCTAAGCCTAAATTTAGTAATACCGTATATAAACTAATTATTTCTTTTGTTTATCTTTACAGCTTAGAGCTTTAAATGCAGCTGGTAGACAAAAAAGCAGTTGCATGAAAGCCATTCTATATTGTCTATAATAGAAATTCATGAATGCATCCTCTTCGTAGTTATATTGCACTTTCTCTGTAAGTTGATGTAACAAATAAATTAATCATCACCGTGTGATAGCGTTTGTTTTTTGTTTGATTTGAGATAAAATTAGAGGTGTGTGTACTTCAGTACTTGTAACATCGTTGTGTGCTTCACACCGTTTCCCCAAAGTCATTTGTAGTCGGCTAACCTGGGTAGGAAAATCCCATGCTCTGGCCGCCCGTCATATAGATACAATACCAACAATTGAGGCACAAGTCGCCTTTTAATATCTTTATCTTGAATATTAAATTGTTTTGTGAATAATGTGGAGACAAATTTTTGAAACACGTGTACTCAATTATGCAAACAACAGAATCAGTTGAATGTTATTGATCTATGCAATCTCTGGGCGTGGTTGACGTAATGTAATCAGATAATACAAGTATCGTGCATTGTGTGGTTTTTGAACGTCACAATAAAAATAATCGGGTTATCGTAGATGGCAATTGTTGTGGTGCATTTTCAACTGAACCCATTTTCATCAAACATATCTTATTAAATCAGAAGAAAACTCCAGGACAATATATTAAACCAAGTAACATTTATATTCAGGATTAGTTTGAAGTTATGGTGTTATGATTTTCTATCTCGTGTTTCGTGTCATATTATTTTGAAGAATTCGTACTCACTCGCATGTGTACAACGTCCTAAAAGCAAACATAGACTCAAATTCATGCCTCAAGCAACGAGCGATGAGAGATAATGAACTGTCTGGAACTCGAAATTGACAACATTTATGTACTGTTACAATTCTCATAGTATACAGTAATAACAAGAAACAAACAAATTACGTGGCAAAAAATGAGTAACACATATAATACGACAGGAAGTACATAGTGCAAGTCAAATTACATATTGCGAAAGAAGATGGACGGCGTACTGTCTGAGTGCGTACATTGAGGTATCCTTGTAATAACCTTATTATTATACATCTTTTCCTTCCAAGGATACATCATGGGAATGCCAAAAGTTTAGAACAGAATCAGCGAACTTCGTTGTGCGGGATCCGGTCAAACCAATGTGACAGCCATGTTTGTTTTTATTATTAGATGACGCTTGCATGGGTAATCATTCTATATTTAGAATGACATATGGAAAGGAAAAAATACCCCGTACAATACCGCGAATTACGGCACGATGTTACTTATGGCGTTACAGTGATAGTTGTATAATAATACAGTTTACTCCGATGCAGTGATAGTTCAGGCAGTAGTCACGCATAACATATCGGGAATGACAGATAAATTTAAAATGTATATATAAGAATATTTAAAACCTATCTGGCTGACTAAATGGAAGAACTGCAGAGTAGTATAGCATCTAAAAAAAATCTGTTCGTGAAATATTTAGTATACTTTTTTCGAGAAGCTGTTCTGTTTGCTGTGTTTTTTCTTTAATGGCTTCCGTAGCCGTGGCAAGCAAAAGCACCCCTATGTGCCAAAATAATAAACTCGTTTCCCTAAAGTCTGTTAACATACATAATAATAATAATAAACGTTCACGTTCTACACACGTCACGATTACATGGGGTCATATTGAGAGATTTAAAACATAATATGTTGTGGTATCTCGTTGCGATACACATATTGCGTGATGGAAAACATATTGTGCTGTAAAACTAATATTCATGAAACACCGTAATAACTTTCTTTGCGCCGAAATGTACATGACGAATAAAAAAGTGAATTACGTAGTTGTGGGATTGAACAGACCACAGTCACCCGCTCGCTCGATTGTAAACGCTCCAATCCCCCGATCGCTTGACAATGCGTTTAGACATGCAACAAATGTATATTTGTTTTCCGACTGATCTAACAGTATGACTATGTATATTATATGTTCAGTGAAGCAATTATTTCTTGTCGAAATCATAAATTACGCCCTCTCCCGATAACGACAAATATGAAACTGTTTGATAGTTGGGGGCGCATTTAATAAGATCGAAGCAGTCGTTGGTCTGCCATGCCGAATATTACATTGAGAAGAAATAAACATTTAGGTCTTCCATTGGCGGATTTAGATGAGGGCCGAGGGTGTCTGCGGCCCCCCTATTTTTAACAACCACGTTCATTATTAAATGTATATTACAGTAGTCAATTTATTACTGATGCGGTACAAATATCAGTTGCTAAGATATCGAGAGTGATAGTTGCTTTCTATATATACGTGCGTACTACTTAACAAGGAGTGCGGTGGTCGTGTAGCACACGTTCGATTATTTATGAAACAAACAAGTCATTTTTGGCCTCTGATCTAGGCATGCATACACCACTCAACATATTGCTCAGGTGCATGTAAATAGAGTAAAAAAAGCACCTACAATTATATGTCAAATTATCTAGGTTAACTCTATATCTGAAATTATGTTCGGTAGTTTCAACTTAAAATACATACAACAATACTAGTAGTAGACAACATACCAGTTCCTGGGCTATATATTTCCTCATAATGTTCGCCTTTCTGTTGTCTTTTGTTAGTACATACTTTATTTGTTGTTATATAGCGACTAAGATAAACCACATGAGCTGTTGGTGGCGTGCGTCAGGCACGAACTGGGAGTAGTAGTATCACGTGATTATATTGGTCCGTTGTTGTACAAGTGAAACTCGAGTAATATGAATAACGCGGTAACATCGCATGATTACCGAGGCGATATCGACCGTCATTTTTTTCTTTAATGGAAACAACAATACTTTTGAGTGGGTCCGCTATGATGTCTGATATCACAGTCAGCTGGCGAACACGTGATAATAAAAGAAATACGATATTTACTATATGGGGCCCGCCATCTTGAATGCTGCATAAAACTAAATAAAAGACAAGTTGTGAAACGCGTTTTTCAGATTTCTACAAATCAGGACAAAAATACCAATCTTTCACAAAAATACGATCCGTTGGGGTTATATTAAGCCAACCGATAACAAAATTCGGCCGAATTCGGCGTTTTTCTGTGGGAAAATTCCTTACACACGAACACCTAATTACACGAAGAACCTAGAACACTAAGCCGGGGTATTTGAAACCGATTGGCTGCTGAGCTGGAATGACAATTTTTGGTTTCAAATGCCTGTCGTCCATTTTGAACTTGGTCTGAAAAATAACACGACGTGCATCGAGACCCTATTGCGTTCAATGTATATACAGAGTGTGAACAAAGTCTGGGATCCGGTTCCGGTATGGTGAAAAGTTTGAACGTGATCGATTTAAGCATGTGTGAGATGAGGCTAGATATAGATATCAAATGCACACACTGTTGCATTTTTATGTAGCTTTGCATGTAGATTTTATTCAACACCTTAACAATTTCTCATCCATCATCATGAATTTCTCTTCCGCACACCAAAATAATAATTATAATAAGCGTTTATTTAGTAATAGTAATTGTTATTATGTCATTAGTACTAGTTACTTCAGACCATTCGTACGACTCGTGTGGGCTACAATGATAAAACGGGGACGAATAGTCTTGACGCATGAAGCCGGGAACAGCCACTAGTGGCGCTGTATACAATCGAAACCCATCAACGCCTGCCAACACTTTTATAATTTTGGTGGCCTGTTTAGTATGCCAGAAAGCGTGTACAGTCTTCAAATAATATTTATGAGATATGTCGTACATGTAACATCGTTAAAGGTCATTCGCATATTGCGTATGCAGTGCGCATGCTTCAACCCCTTTTTTTTCATATTCCACAACCAATGCCTCATCACAGCCAGCTTTTATGCAAGTTGTGTACGTATCCGAAGCCCACGCATAAGCGACGCTAACCAGATATATACTCAAGCTGACAACACACTAACCCAGCGACTGCTCAAATTGAAAAAGATTTGTAAACACTTCCAACGTTTCATAATCTGTAATATACAATTACAATTCTGGTTCACCCATAGCTCTTGGTTAAGTAGTAGTTTTTAATTTGAAATTATACGAAGACAAATAACGCAAATAAAAGCAAGAACCGGTTACTGTAGCTGTGTAATCCTGCAAGAAGATACTATCCCTATACGAGTACCGGGGAAAAAGTAAAACACACGTTAAAGTTAAAGGGCGGTAGTCGTCGTGCTGCGCATGTGCGACATTTGTGTTGATAAACATTGACTTTCTGAGTCCCACAATCCAATGATCTCTTCTAATTGAAATCACAAGTATGAGGTTTGACCTGGGCGCGACTTGCACTAATTACCGCCGGTGACTCCTTCGATACCTTCGAAACACCTGAAAATATCTAATTAAAGCTTGGAAACGACTCAGTTTGTACTCGTTGGTCTTCGCAACAGTCAAAGTCGCCATCTTTATTTATATGAGACCCATATAACTCGCGCATGCGTGGCGCGACGACTACCGCCCTTTAAAAAAACACGTGAAACGACTATCGCTACTTGGTAGTATTAGGTTAGTGAGAACGTCTGCATCATGTCCGATTTCACTTCTCGACAACGACAGTGATCACCTCAAGTTCCCATCGCATAGTGCCGTCATCCGTATCTTTGGATTGTTTTTTGAAGTATTGGAAAAACTCTTCCCTATATTGCTCCCTCTTCTCAGCTGGAACACAGTTACTCTGCGACGTGAAAGGTCTAAATATGTCTGAAAAAACAGCGTGACAGAACATTAATATCTGCTAGTGAACAACATCTGTACAATAATAATTCAAAACTCAGCATGTGAATATATATTATTTAGGAAATAAAAGACGGACGGCAATAAGAATTATACTAGTAATGGTATAGGGGGTTGTTCGAATTAATGTGACCTATGACAACCCGCAATGTCTAAAATACATTACTAAAAACTGCAGAGGTACGCTTGAGATGAATACGACGTATGGTTAGCGCGCCGATGACACTTACACTTACACATGAAATATTCATGAACGAACTTGGTGGTTTATTTGCGGGTTTATGATGTACAGTAATTTAAAAAAAAAAAAAAATAGGAGATTGCTGATCATGTGCACATTTCCGTCTGTTCGTGCACTGACGCCAAGCACTGCCCGATTGTCGGCGGACAAATGATCTGCCGGTACGGATCTACTGAAGAGAACGCGGCATTTCAATAGTTGGCAACACCACGTGGTATATAATCAGACACAATATAGTATCACAGTTTATGTTTGAATCATACCATGCAGCTAGTAATTTACAGCGAATGCATGATATTTACATACACCTAACACCCGCGCCCGATGGACTTTGCAACATCCTGAGAGAAACTTTCCTAGACATTCCAGTGTTCGTTGTAGACGCGATAAAGTTACATACGCCTACGCGAAAGTTAACCAAAACAACGGACCAGGGTTTCAGATGAATTCAACTACTACAACTTGCAAGCGTCCAGTCAAACATTCATCAAACAATAATGTTTCATTCATTGTTGATATCGGACACTCCTCGCTCGTTATATGCTCGTTCATTTTATAGATTCTATTTTTAACGTTTCGCGAAAATAATAAACCACGTTGATAAAATATTTAAAAACGCCCCTAGCTTATAATGCAATTACCTTCGTGAGAACAGTTTAGTTTTGAATGCAATTTCCAATTTTGAACTCATCGTTGTCGATACAATTTTGTTACTATTATGCCAAAGCGTGTAGACGAAGACACTCATATGGAGGTTATTCACCTCTTGCGAACGATCGCCGAGGAAGATGGACTTACGAGAGAAACGGTTCAAAGGAAGACAGGCGAATGTGTAGCATCGATACAAATACAGAAAGGGTTTCAACTTGATTTGGAGGCCGACGCCCCCTCCTCCCAACACTGGTCACTGGCGTGTTTAGAAAGGGGGATGTAGCGAAGTCTCTCGGTACTAGCCGAGTGCGGGAGTTAGGTGTATGTAAATACCTTACGATCGCTGGTGAGCGTTGATTGTTATACCTGTACAATGTTTCAAGTCTGTGCACCCAACGTAATACATTGTAGAAGTAAAACAAACTAAATAAACACAATCTGTTCGTATTTTGCTATTTGTACATTGATATGGAAAGATACTTAACGTACTTCTAGCTGTTTGGTCATTATCAGCATCCAGACTTCTCACACTAAACTGAAAAGATTTAATCTTAAAGCCAACTTTTTCCAAGGCCTCCTTGAAGTAGTCTTTAGTGACACCATGCATCGGATATTCATAATCCTGGTAACAGAAACACTAATATAAGTACTAGCATAGTGTTCATAGATACACAATTCCCAGTTTCCGATTCTCATTTGCGTTTTTGGCGAGGACAAAATGTGGTTCAAGTCAAGTTCAAGGGCATTTATATAACCTGGATTTCTTTATGAAACATATAACGGTGTTTACTTCGCGTAAATATCAAGCGCGACTAATGAGAAAAGCTGTTTGAATACACACTTCGCCACTATCTGGAACTTCATATCAGTCATTTGTTTTTGAGATAAATCATCATGATCAAAGTTAGATCACGAGTAATCATTAGTTGCTCGTTAAAGCAAATCTTGACCCAATTAGTGGTAGGCACTTGTCATGACTCGCTGAGCACACTTTAGCACACTGGCATTTTCTTTAATTGCATATTTGTATGTGGTGTAGAGGGAGTGAGAGAGGAATGGTCGGGCGGAACGAAGAAAACAAGTAGACAAGGAAGGAAGGAAGCAATCATACAAGGAAGTAAGCAAGCAAATACGTGTGATATGATATGCATGTAAACTGTAGTGATGACAATGACAGCGTGCTCACCTCAAAATACTGTTTCCATTTTGGAAAATGCAAGCCGTCTTTTCCTATCTGAAATACGTGGGTAGACGCCGCCAACGTGTTCAAAAACGCGATTCCTCCTGGTTTTAAGCATTCATATATTCCTTTTAATGTGACTGCCTCCCAGTCTTTAATGAGGTAAAGTGAATAATAACACAGTACTTTATCATAAGAGTTCTTCCAGGTGCTGAGAAATGTATCGGCGTTACCGGCGTCAGCTACAGCAAATGTTATGTTGGGTGAGGTGTTCGCGGATTCGGCAATTTCTACCATTTGCGGATTGATATCAATTGCTGTAGATAAATATAAATCGAATAAGTATAAGAATATAAGTATAGGTATAAGTGTAAGTATAAGAACAAACACATTGGTAATTTATACGAAACTGGAGCTTGTCGCCGCTAGAGGGCGCGACATACATGAAAATATCTAGATGGTGCTTCCGGCATGACCACTGTGGCATATCAGCGATTGATAGTATGTGCAAGTCTGTGTGTTGTCACGTCTCGTTTACCAAGACGTTCGTGGATAGTTTATATCGGAATGACGAGAGTATTGGGCACTGCAACGCTTACTTAATTAATTAATAGATTGTTGTTGTTTTTTTACATAATTTGTAAAACATTCATATATATTTTAGATATTATTATTGGACTTTTTCTTGTAAACACAGGATGCTACTGTTGTTTTTGCAGATTAGATATAAACATAGATTTTTATTTAACTGCACTCCGAGAAGTCGTGTATGTTTTAAAGTTGTTCTAACCAGTCAAAGCGATAAAGACAAAACACTGGTGCGAACTTCCTTTATGTGTCGTCTAAAAAATGTTACATAAAATGTTTGGATTTAGTAACCTGTAGCCCTTCGAGACTAGGGTTTGCAAGAATATAGACCAAAACAATAATGTTTTACTTTGTAAAAGTCCCGAACCACGAGTAGCCTGACATGTAGGCGTAGTAGCGCCCTCGCCGGCCGAACGGTATAGACCACTTTCCCGGAAGTAGCAAAACTGGGGTGCAAAAATACTCCTGCTTTGTCATGGCGGAAAATACAACCATGTCAGTTTGCTGATAGTCAATAGTAAAGAATTTTATTTTTGTTACGTCGATTGGTACACCCAGGAGCACAATATCACGCGTGCAAGTTTACGTTACACCCCAATTTCGCATGCGCGCGCATGCGAAAAGCC